CTGGCAGCTCTGTGCATGCACACACTGGGAACAGGCTCCGGCTGTTCCTCTGCCTTGCTGCTGTCTTAAATCCCTCTCTGCTTCCAACACAGAGCCCTCGTCCGAGCTTTCCCCAGCCCCCAGGACTGGCCCAAGTTCCTCTCCAACCTCGTCACTGTCCGACTCTGTTGCCAGCTCTGCTGGCTGCTGGTGGGCCACAGCAACTACCCTCTTTACTCAGTACATGTACTTTGTGATGAAGTCGACCAATACCCATGCCGTTCTCCCTTTTGCCAGCCCCACTCAATGCTGGATTCCTGGCTGCCCTTAGTGCTAGTGTTGACTTGGCTTCACCTTCAGTTGTCAGTGCTGGAAGCTGCCTGCAATTGCTTGGCAATCTCTAAGGTTATCTCTAAATGTTCAGAAACCACAAGCTCAGAGAACGAACCCTCACCCCACACCCAAGCTACAGATATTCGCCACTATTGCAAATAACTAAGGCTTTGGGGAAGGCCATCCTGGTGCCTGTGGTTCCATTGTCTGACCCATTTTCCTTCTTTCTCCTGGAAGAATTTTTCCCCTCGCAGAGCAGAGAGATTGCTTAAATAAGCTATCTCTTCCCAAAGTGCTCTGCTCCCCTCAGAAGTTAATTAAGACCCTCTGGCTGGTTTGTGCTGCTATCTGAAATTGGCAAAACCTTAATAAGCTTCACCCTCCAGGCTTCCTTGTGTTGTTGTCTGAAGTGACTTGCTCTCTTGTAATCTCTCCCTTTCCAATCAAAGTAAATGGAAATATTAATTTCCCCTAGCTAATTATCCCAGAATGGAGGTGAGGATTCCAAAGCGGGGGGGGGGGAAATGAAGAAAAGGGCTGTAAGATAGAAAACATCCTTTTTCCCAGCTTCCTGGTGAGCTGAGTTCTGGAATGTAAGTTTCCCCAATTACATTGGACTCTTTAAGTACTTGAGTGATTTCTTAATACTGTAATTTTTTTCATGATTTATTATCTTCCTAGCATCTCCCATACTGTTCTAGTTCTTTGGTATCCATCCTATAAATTCTAAATTACATGTGGACACACACAGATTAATGGAAACACCTGGCTTGTCTAGTCTATGTTGCTGCTAGTCTGTTTGTTTTTATTTATTAAATTTATTTTGCTGCCTGTCTAACCACAAGGTAACTCTGGGCAGCTTAAAAGCATAGATAGATAGATAGATAGATAGATAGATAGATAGATAGATAGATAGATAAAAGATGGGAGGGAAAGAACAGGGTGTACAGGGGTGAGAAGTGATCCGCTATTGGTCCATCAACCATCTCCAGTGTGATACTTCCTCATTGGGGACCCAAACCAACTGGCAGAGCCAGGTTTTCTGCTAGATCAGGGATCAGCAACCCGCGGCTCTGGAGCCGCGTGTGGCTCTTTCATCCCTCTGCTGTGGCTCCCTGTTGCTGATCGGCTCCACAATTGATAGAGCTTTCATTTAGGACAGGTAGAGGAAAAAGGATGCCGTGCTAGGAGGAGACTCTGTGGTGGGGAAACCGGACTTTCAGTCAGCAGAGGAAAAAGGACGCTGCGCTAGGAGGAGACTATGATGGGGGAACCGGACTTCTGGTCGGCTCCAGAATTGAACAGGGGCTTCCGGTTAGGACCTTTGAGGCTCTTTGAGTGTTTAAGGTTGCCGACCCCTGTGCTAGATTGTTGGTGGTTGGACTAAAATAGGTGCAGACCGTGGGGATTAAACTCTAAGAAATTTCTGCTGCAACCATGTCTCGGGGCTCCCTTGCTGCCTTCTTGATGTCTGGGGACTCTCTGTTTCCATTCTCCTGTTACCTTGTTAGGAGGCTGCCTTGCTACTTTGCAAAGTTTCCTTCTTTGTTCTGAGGATCTGCTGCGTTGGCTCTTCCTTCCATTCTTCTAGCATTCTGTTTTCTGCTGTTTTTCATCAGAAACGCTTGATTATCTAGCAATTATATAGATATGTTATACTTTCAAATATAAAATCCCCATGGAACATTATTAAGCTCTTATTAAGCAGATATTATCTTATCAGAATGCAATGGCAAGAAAATCAGATAAAGAAGAGAAGAAGTGAAAGAGGCTGGGGTCTTTCCTGAGCCATTGGGAGAATCCCCATGGAAGAATTGTTGGTCGTGTGGTCCTACGTGCTCTCTGAGCTTGGTGGTTTTCTTGCAGGTGTTTCATTACCAAAGTAGATATACATCATCAGTGCTACAAGGGAGTGGAGTTTGCCCTTATTTTTCTGTATTTCTTAATGGCTTGCCTGTCAGTGCTGGTGGGGGTGGACTTGGTGGTTCCTTGATTAGATTGTTTACTAGTAACTTGCGTTTCTACAGTGGTAGTTCCTTGATTGGGGTATTGTTTCCTTTTTTTAAAATTTGATTTATATGCCGCCCTTCTCTGGAGACTCAGGGCGGCTTACAATGCGTTAAGCAATAGCCTTCATACTTTTGTATATTTATACAAAGTCAGTTTATTGCCCCCATAATCTGGGTCCTCATTTTACCTACCTTAGAAAGGATGGAAAGCTGAGTCAACCTTGAGCCTGGTGAGATTTGAACTTGCAGTAATTGCAGGCAGCAGATGTAAGTGGATGTTAATAACAGTGCTTTAGTCTGCTGAGCCACCAGAGTTTACTTGATTTTGGTTTGTTGTTAATCTTGGTCTTAATCTCATACAGGGGTTGATTGCTGTTTTGTTCTTTTTGTTTCCTTTTGGGCTTTTGCATTGTCTCTTTTGAGTGGTATGTAGATGTTGTTTCTGTGCCTATTGATGACTTATTTGTTTGAGTGCCAGGCCTCCAGGAATTTTCTTCCTTAGACAAGACATACCCAGTTCCCTCAACCCAGTTCCCTCAACCCAGTTCCCTCAACCGTTCATCGCTTGCATAAATCTCCAGTCCCCGAATCCTGTTCATTGTTTCTGAGATCTTTTTGATGTGTGGCAATGGGATGTGGTGGCTCAGTGGCTAAGATGCTGAGCTTGTCGATCGAAAGGTCGGCAGTTCAGCGGTTCGAATCCCTAGTGCCACGTAACGGGGTGAGCTCCCGTTACTTGTCCCAGCTTCTGCCAACCTTTGCAGGTAAAAAATGCAAATAGAAAAATAGGGACCACCTTTGGTGGGAAGGTAACAGTGTTCCGTGCGCCTTTGGCGTTGAGTCATGCGGCTACATGACCATGGAGACGTCTTCGGGCAGCGCTGGCTCTTTGGCTTTGAAACGGAAATGAGCACCGCCCCCTACAGTCGGGAACAACTAGCACATATGTGCGAGGGGAACCTTTACCTTTACCTTTTAATGTTATCCCTTTTGCAGCTTATGTTGGTTGTGCTAATGGTAGGTTAAGTGGTAAGGGACTTTGATAAAGTTGCATGAATATCCATTTTGTTGGAAGATATTATATAAATGCTCTTATCTCTTTTCCGCTGTTCAGGGTTGTTGCAGTGTGTTTATGCTCGTCTAAGTAGTGCTCTTACGCAGCTTCTCTTGTGGGAGGTTAGATTGTTACCTTGGTAGTAGAGCACTTGGTTGGTGTGGGTAGTTTTTCGATAGATTTATGTTTCTAATTTGCCATAATTGCCTCTGCTGCTATCTAGGAAGGGGAGTGTGTTGTTTTCTTCTTCCCTGGTGAATTTTTTCTTTTGAAAATGATATGAATAGTTTCATGTGTTTTCTCTAAATGGTTCTTTTTTTATTATGACAAAGGTGTCGTCTACGTGCTGCATCCAGAATTTGAGTTGTATGCGTGGGAGTGCTGTAGATTCCAGGTGTTGTATGATGGGCCCAAGCAATGAGTCCTAAAAGCAGTGATCCCATGGCTATTCCTTTGTTTTGGTGATATATTTGTCCAATAAACTAAAAGTATGTTGTCAGGCAAAGGTTGATAAGGTCCATGATTCTGGGTATTTCAATGTTGGTGTATTTGGATTAGGTTGGATGTCCTGTGTAGTAGTGCTATCATGGATTCTTTTGCTAGTTTTGGGTCTATGGAAGTGAAGAGTGCTGTGACATCAAATGAGACCATCTTCATCTATGGTCAAGTCTTTGATCTTTTGGCTGCACTGTAGTGGGGAATTAATAGAGTATTTACTTCCCTTTGTGAGGTGCCCAAGCTTATTTATCAGTTCTTTAGGAATGTTGTAGGTTGGGGTTCCTGATAACTATACAATTGGCTGGACAGAGATATGTCTGGCATATGTGTTTTGGGCACCATAAAAATATGGTAGGTTGGATCCACTGCTTTCATTTGCCACTGTTCTTCTTTAGTGATTTGACCTTTTTCTCAATCCAGTTGTCTAGTTTCTATATTGGATTGGTGCTCACCAGGATGTAAATTTCTTTGTCTTCCAGTAATTCTTTGGCTTTTTATATATATTGTGATCTGTCCATGATCACAGTGGTTTGGCCTTTGTCTGCTGGCAGGAAGATAATTGGTCCTAGTTAACCAAGTATTTCTGAAGAACACTTTTCATTGGTCCTTCTTTACTCTGATTACACATTTATAGGCAATGTTTTTTTAAAAATTTTAGATATCTTCCAGTGGAGCTGGACGTGCCTTGTTTAAATGTCATAGAACACACAAGCCTTGGGGATCTTGCAAGAACGCTTAAAGCTTTCTCCGTTTCTCTCACCACCCATTCTTGTTATGTCAGATTCATTCATTGGATTCAGCATATTGACAAAGAACAAAATGGATTTGTTAGGGTCACTGCTTCACAAAGTGAAGCATGACTTTGGTAGGCAATGGGGCCTATTTTGTAGTCTGCTAATAAAGCGTCTGTAGGATTTACAGTCTGCCATCTGCTCCTGAAAAACCTTTGTTAGTGTGAAGTGATCATGCAGTTTGCATGCAAGATGTGTGTGTTGTGTGTGTGTGTGTGTGTGTGTGTGTGTGTGTTGGCTTAGATGTGGAAAGAATTAAACTGCGCCTCTGTATTTATGAAGAAATTACAATCTAATTTGCAAATATGCCAAGGATGACAATTCTCAAAGCAAACAGGCTTTTAAAAATTCTGTTTTTAATCCAATCAGTTAAGTGCCATATTCATCTCTGCATCTTTTTAAAATCCTCGCATTTGCTTGAAAGTAACTTGAGAATGGTTTGGGTAGGAGAAATTCATCACACATCTAAAGTTCTTGGCTAAAAATGTTGAAGTTATTCAGAATGTTCTTTCTGTGTGCGTCTGTTTGAGGAAAAAGGAATAAACATCAGTTACTGCTCTGACAGATATTTTAAGGCATACTATCTATATGTAAATAATTGTTGCCTTTAAATTCTGATTCTAATATAGAAAACCACAGATATAATTGGAAGATTGGAAGATAATTGGAACTGGAGATGCAAATTCATCTTATTTCTTTTGTTCTACCAACTCTTTGAGATATTTGCCTTTAAATATGTGCCTTCAAACATATATTTGGGGAAAAAAACATACAGCTTAGGCTTTTCAGCCTAATGCCCTCCAGATGTATTAGGATTGTGGAATTCTGGAAGTTGTAGTCCCAACACAATTAAAAGGTGCCAAGCTAGACATATTGTTGATCTGTTTTATCTCCTTACATTTATCCTCTCACCTTTTTCTGGTTTGCGTATTCAAAACCACCTCAGCTTTTTTGGGTATTAATTTGTCTAAATCACCATGTTCCTCCTATCCCAATTATGTCACTGAAGTTGGGAAGCCAGTACATTTCAATAAATAAAATTATTGTACTCTGTTCATAACAATGTGAGTCACCCTCTGGGTTAGCTGATGTTGGCCTTAATACACACTGAGTTCTTCCCAAGAAGACAGGATGTCATAATATATTGGCATAGTATATGTGTAGCTCCAAGCAGCCTGGCCTTGCAATTGACAGATGGAAATTTTGTCAATGTGCAGATTTTCCAAGTGCCATCCAGTATTTTTTTTATTTTACTGATAACCACTGGGACTACTATGGCCAATTTATGCATAATCTTTCAGTTCCGATTTTCAGAACTTGTTATTTTGTCATCTTCTCTAATCCATTGTTTTCTGTCCTACTATCCCCTGGTATTGCCTCATCAATTATCCACACTTCTTTTCAATCACATTTATATATGATGTGTTAATAAGATAAAACTTTTTATCAGTCTGTATTCAGAAATCCCACAATCCTTGAATCTGCTTGTTATAATTAATGAAAGAGATTGGCCAGAGAGTGAGGATAAAGAAATACTATTTGTCATGATCCATGATTTTTTTTTAATTTTTTTTAATTTTTTTTAAAATTTGATTTATATGCCGCCCTTCTCCGAAGACTCAGGGCGGCTTACAATGTGCTCAGCAATAGCCTTCATCCTTTTGTATATTTATACAAAGTCAGCTTATTGCCCCCACAAACTGGGTCCTCATTTCACCTACCTTAGAAAGGATGGAAGGCTGAGTCAACCTTGAGCCTTGGCGAGATTCGAACCCTGCAGTAATTGCAGGCAGCTGGTCTTAATAAGCTTAATAACAGGGTGCCTTAAACCCCTGTACTACCAAGGCTCTTAATTTATGATTAATTTATGTCAACAAGCATGGGTTGTTGGGGAGTAGATGATTGAAGGAAAATATATATATTGTAGGCAAACACTTGAATAGCATTTGTAAAATCAAAGGGGAATCTGTATAGATCTCTTATGTTCAGATTCTGCTTGTGGATATCTCAGAAGCATCATGTTTTGGGTAGCCATTTCAGATCTTCAAGAGGGCTAATCTTATGTCCTGCTAATGTTTATTTAAAAAAAAACATAAATGGACTCAATTCAGCAGTTAAAGGAAGAAAGGTCTTTTATAAACTAGAGAAATTAAAAATTTGATATAATCTGTCTACAAGAAGTACATATTAAAAAACAATATGAACAATTATTGATACAACCAAAACTTGGGAAAATTTTCACATCATTGCCACAATGTAAAAAGAGAGGAGTGGTCTTATATATTAGAAATACAATACCAGCCGAACAAATATATGAAGATACAGAAGGTAGAATTTTGATGGTGGAGATAACAGATAATAATATGAAAATTCTTTTAGTAGCAATATATGCTCCAAATAATAATCAGACGTCCATTTCTGATCACAGTGACAGCAAAAGGTGAAATGCATCTTATATTGTCCTAACAACACATAGAATTATGTAAAAAGGAAGAACTTGTGTTAGAACATAGACTTTCTCCCTTGATCCCTTCCCCCATTTTACTCCTCAGGCATCTTATAGGGGCCGTTATTTCCTTATATTAATATTTAATAGTGTTTGTAGGGGGAAGTGCAGCCAAGCTTTGCCTAATAATGTACATATTCTCGTACTAGCAAATTATAGCTGTCTCTAATTGAGTTGATTGTAGTCACCAAATGAGGGGGCAAAGACAATTTCACAAAGCTTTCATACGAAATGCTTGGGGCAGATTTTAAAGTGTCTGTAGGAGAATATGAGCTCTCAAACACTCACATTTATACAAATTGCCATAGTCCAGCTCTTGGCCCCACTACAAATGAAACAATAGGCGCCCTTCATATCTTCTGCAAATGCTTTGGCTGCTTGATTGTGTTGCCGGAATCTGAAGATCAAAGCAGACAAAATTATTCTGCAGTCATCAGAATCTCTCTTGGCATTCCACATCCAGTTTAAAACAAAAAGGAAGCTTCTCATAACCGATATCCCATACTTATATCCTTCAGTTGATCCCATACTTATATCCTTCTTTCCTTTAGTCCACATTTCTGCTGTGGCTTGTGGGTGCTGTGGCTTGTAGGTGAAAGAAAAACCAGAAAATGCCAACATGATGCAGCTTTTGCTCAGCATCAGAGCGGATTTGTTTAGATTAGATGCTGAGGAGGGATTAGCCCACATATTAATTTTTCTACAGTTAGCCCAGTGCTAAATCTTTATGAGGTCTGCCTTGGGAATTGAGGATGGGAATCCACAGTGTGGCAGCTGGGATTTTATTGCAGAAATGCAATGTGTTTGTTCTTGGAGATCAAACCTGCACGTTTTAGCATCTCCAAGCTAATTATGTAATCAGGGCTATAAAACAATATAACCAGTGTTAAATGAGTAATGTAAAACCATTCTCATGGGACATGAAAAGCCACAGGAAACTAATATTTTCAGCATGTGCCTGAATGGGAAGAATGTCAGAACATATTTTATTTCTGGGGGGGAAATATTTCAAGGAGTGGATGATCAAAGGACTGCTTCTGGCTAATGCAGAATGTATATTAGCAAGAGACAGGAGGACCTTAGGTGAAAATTACAGTGATTTGGGCCTATCTTCCCAGGAGAATCTTTAAAGCATCCTATTTTGGAGTTGCTCAAGGTTAATTCCAAAACCTTCAGTCAGATATAGTAACAAACTGCTACAGGTATATATAGGTGTACAATTTTTTTGTTGATTAGTGTTGAAAATTGTTGCAGATTTTCATTCCTTTATTTAAAAAAAAATACTGTTATTTGAAACGGAGGAAATGGGAGAAGAGGAATCTTGTTTGCTTGCTTGAGGATCTATGGGTCATTAGTTCCAAATCCAAATTATTTTATGCTTGGTTTAATTACTCTAGTTTGAGGGTAGGTAACTTTTTCATTCCTGAGTAAAAGAAGATGCTCTGGTGTAATAAGAATATTTTAATATGAAGCTTAATCATCAGAATGGTTTAAGCTTAAGACCATAAACACTTAAATAAAGCAGAGCCTCTAGATTTGTTACATCTTGAGAATAATAGTTTAAGAGGGGAGTAACAAGGGAAGCAGTGGCTAAGACGCTGAGCTTGTCGATTGAAAGGTTGGCAGTTCAGCAGTTCGAATCCCTAGTGCCGTGTAATGGGGTGAGCTCTCATTACTTGTCCCAGCTTCTGCCAACCTAGCAGTTCAAAAGCACATAAAAAATGCAAGTAGAAAAATAGGGACCACCTTTGGTGGGAAGATAACAGCGTTCCGTGCTGTTTAGTCATGCCGGCACCATTACCACGGAGACATCTTTGGGCACCGATAGCTCTTCGGCTTTAAAACAGAGATAAGCACCGCCCCCTAGAGTCGGGAACAACTAGCACATATGTGTGAGGGGAACCTTTACCTTTAACAGATATGTATTATTTCATATTATATTATATTATATTATATTATATTATATTATATTATATTATATTATATTATATTATATTATATTATATTTTATTTTATTTTATTTTATTTTATTTTATTTTATTTTATTTTATTTTATTTTATTTTATTTTATTTTATTTTATTGTTTATTTTATTCCCATCTTGTAAAAAAAAAATGACTGGACAGCTATTGGATGCTGTGCAAATAGAATGCCCCTGTCTTTTCTCTGTCATTCTCGCATTCTGTACAGAACAAGGAATAATGAATTTAAGAGCAAATTTCAGTGGGGCCAATTACCCCAAGAACTGTGGGATCCTCTTCAGTAACTGCTGTCTATGTCGGGAGAGCTTTAATTTGGATTTCTGCATGGTATAGGAGGTTGACATGGAATGTCCTCTTCCAACTCTGTGTCTGGATCTTGTTTATTGAATTGATCCAAGTTTGTTAGTACAATATACTGTAGATTCAAAGAAAGAAATAACCAAACAGGATGACTTCACACAAGCTTTTAAGATTTAAAAAAAATAATCTTACCAAAGTTAAAATTAACCAAATGTAGCATGTGTGAATATGGATGCTACGTCTTTAATTGATCTGGGAAAGCATTTTGTGGTAGCCGCAGCCTAAGTGAGATTGTATGTTCTTATATGGGAGCATATAAGAGCATATTTTGGTGTTCCTCTGCGACTTTTTGGCTTTTATGGCATTTTGATGCCTCTTATGACTAAGTTCTGACTCTTGCACTATGACATAATGTATTGGTTTACCCAAGTTGCTAAGTCGGAAGGAAATTGACTACACTGTAATTTAGGATTATATTTGAATCCAGTTGTTATAAATGCGGAGTGTATTGTTGGGAGAATTTGGCAACAGTTATGCATTCAGTTGCTTCCTAGTAAGTGTGCATAGGATTGAGCTGTAGGTAGCTGAGTTTATGAATCCATTACTTGCAGCTAGGGAAGAAAGTTCTTTTTTTCCATTTATTTTCCATTTCACATTTTTTTTATTCCTTTAGCAAGGCAGATAATAAATCCGCTTAGTGGATGTGAAGTTCTAAATGCATGTGGAAAAAACAATAGATCGTAGCCTTTTTCACATAGCTGACAGGAGGAGAATGGCTGGTGATGTGGTCATTCCAGGTTGCTTAGCTCAATGAGAAGTGCAGTTTGCGAAAACAATGCCTATGGGACCATCATATGCTCCTGAAAGTCCCTAGAAGGCATAAATCAGAAAGGAAATGATGAATTACATTGCTCTATAAATCTACTTTCTGAAGTGTGCTATTGATCCTTTGCTCAACCATTAATTTTCCCAGAACTTCATATTTGTTGGAGAAGCAAAGCAGTAGATTGCCGAATAAATATTGCCCATGGGAAAGCAGTTGGAAGCAGCAATGATGTTATGTATGGGGTAGGTGGACAGATTACTCCATAATATATGATTTCAGGCATGAGACTAGCCTTTTATTGTTTTCTTTGAGGACTCTAATTTTAAGGGATGCAACATACCATTAAGTCTCTCTTACTGATGTTCTAAAAGTACGCAATTGCAATCAGAGCTAAGATGCTATATATTCAAATTCCTCCCAATCTGTCTCTTTCTTTGTTGTGGGGTTAACGCACCAGTTGGAGGATGGAATAAGAAAGCAGTAGTCAAGATTATCCAAATGAGATAGGCGTAACATGACTTACATTAACAAGTTTCAACAACCGTGCAAATTTGACATGCTGTGAAGGTATTGTTGGAAGGTTTTCCAGTAGGTAAAAGCAAGAGAGCTAAAATAGGTGCTTAGGGAAATGTGTGTTAAAATATTTATATTTTCAGAAATTCAAACGTTTAGCTTTGTTCTGTTTGTTTTGGGATTCTTGCAAACATTTCAATGTTTCCAAATCAATAACCAAGTTCATAGGTTCCAATGTCACACTGAGGAACGATATCATTTGCTTATTGCTTCAATTACTATGGGAACCAAGTCCAATTATGTTTTGAGAAAATTGCTGAAAATAATAACACATGCACACATGTCGACAGAATAACACATAAGGGGCTGAAAATAATAACACATTTCTTCATTTGCCTATGTTTTGGTTCTTTAATAAAAGGTGTTTTTCATAGGGAAGATTATTGGGAAAAGACCCAGCATCCGTCTTGCTCAGGTGCCTAATGTACTGTTCATCCTGTTCTCTTTTTATGGCCTGAGGCTGTTAGTGAAGCTGGGTCAACACATCTTCCTCTGACACTTAACTGTTCAATAGCTTTGATGTTCCTGTGTCCTCAAGGTTAAGAGGATATGAGAAGAGAGGATAAGTGAAGTAGACATAAAGCTAGCGGGTGATGGAGGAGTATTCTTTAAGTGGAAGGTAACAGGCCAGCTCATGGCAAATGCATTTCCCCAAGTGGAAAATTTGCTGCTGGAAAATTGTTCCACCCCACATGTGCATCAAATGTAGCCCTCCAAACAACGGGTAGATTGCTGTATATCACAATTTTCCATGACCTCCAGTTGAGTTGAGTGACAGTGATATTATTATTATTATTATTATTATTATTATTATTATTATTATTATTATTTTATTATTATTATTATTATTATTATTATTATTATTTATTTTCCTGTTTAGATATTTGTCGTTAATTTTGGAAGCTCTGTCTTCTTTTTAACAGTTGCTGTGTTTTAAATGCAGGTTCTCAGATCTACAAAGACTTAATCTTACACTAGTTGCTTTTCATCTCGTGGCATCCTCATAAGTGGTCAACATACACTGAAGAAAGAGACCAGAACTGTCCTTGGTCCTGCTAGAATACTGACCATTCTTTGCAGATGTAGGAACAATATTATGTCACAATTGTCCCTTTCTCTCTTGTCAGAGAAACCATAACAGTAATTAGCATGTTTATTTTTTACATTTATATCCCACCTTTATTATTATTTTTAAATCACTCAAGGCAGTAAACATACCTAATACTTCTTTCTTCTATTTTTGCCACAGCAACAAACCTGTGACCTGGATTAGATTGAGAGAGAATCAATATTTAGCACAACTTACTCTTTTTTCCTCTCTTTGGAATTAACTCATTGGCTATGAAATATTTAGAAGACAAATATGCTTTCTAATAAAAATAAATAAATAAAGGGAAAGCTTTTTACTGTTGGAAAATTCTATATCTGTATTTTACTTTATATTCTGCCAGTGCATTTTAATAGAATCTTTGGTTAGGAAAGAAAACGAAGATAATGGTAGTTAGAATTAGAAGATAGATTTTTTCCCCCCTTCGGAAGAAAATGCTCTAATTTTCTCTAAAAATCAATAAAAGTGGGAACCATGGGAGCTATTAGAGGTTCATATATCGCATTTTTAAGTTGTGGATTGCTGAACTCAATATTATGGCTATAGACTATGATTCACTTGGTTGTATTCACATATCTACTTAAGCCAAAGCCAAACAGATCCCATCAAGGCAACATAATTGTGAATCAGAGATATGTCTGCAAATGGATATAGAAAGCATAACAGATGATGTCATGTTCAACTTATCCCTTACTCATTGTGAAGATAGTCTGAAGTTAATTTTTTTACTTAATTTGCAAAGTGGTGTTTTCCAGCTTTTTCATCACAAACCATGCTATCTGATCTGTCCAAATTACTCATACCATATT